AATCCAATCTTGTTTATAACAAGATGCTCTTCCACTGATGTCATTTTTAATGCCTCTGAATGGAGATCTCATTTTGTCCATTTTATTAATTTCTGTACTGCAAAATAATAATAATAATAATAATAAATATATATGGAACTGAAACGCTTGAATGGGGGAGGAAAAGAAAAGCAGACGACGGCCGGGAAACTTGCCGGAGAGGATGACGGAGGAACTTCCGACCGACGATGTCGACGAAGAGAAGACGGTCTCCGAGGTTGGTTCTTATGGAGCTCTGTTCTTCTCCTTCAACAGTTTATTTATAGTGAAGGAAATTACTTGGACTTGGAGTTCTTCTATGGCATGAGTTTTGGTCTATGGTGGAATTATATATATATATATATATATGACTGAATTATTATTTTAATATCCCAAAGGCAACCCTACACTACACTCCTTCAACTTTGTTAATTATTATCGAAAAGTTAAATTATTGTTTTAATATTAGTTTTTAAAGTTTCGTTAGTCGTTGTGGTTTATGGATGGTTTGGTTATATATCTGCCAAAACATGCTTACATGGCAGAACGTTTGCATTAAACATGGTTAAATTATTAATTAAAAGTTTAAGTCGATGGACTAAGGTAAATTTGATCATTTGTAGGATGTTATTAACAATTTGTTGTTAATAAGATATATCATGAAGGTTGAATTATCTTATAAGTGTCCAATTCATTAGAGGACAAATGTCTAAAATTTTTAGAAATTTATGATGTGACAATTGTCGAAGAAATTCGAAGGAATGACAATGGAAAAGAATCTACTCTTAAACAAGACTCGACATTAAACTAAGAGAAGGTTGTGTCTGACGACAGATAAAAAAAAATATATAGCAGGAGGATTTGAAAGGTCGAATATTTTCATTGACACAAAAAGAGTCACGTCAATATAGACAGTAGAATATTAAAGAAGGACGACAGTATATAGTAGAGGTAACTGCAATGGTAGATGATGCCTTGTCTATGTTGAGAGCAACACGAAAATAGGAATTAGTCATCAGAGTGGACAATAGCAGTATCAGTACACATAGGAGATTATTTATATTTTTCGTAATCACGGCCAAGTAAAGAGAGAAAATGGAAAATTTTTCAAGACTGGAGGTTGGATGATGGTTTAATTAGTTTTAATATTGAATTTGGATTCATTATTCAAATTTTAACCACATGCAATTATTTGATGCAACCACACCAAAATACCAAATGTTAGGCTACTGTGTTCTTGTCGACTTAATGTAAAAAAAAAACACTAGTGACAATATATATATAAGAATGATGGTACAACAAGTAAGGGGCCTTATCTATTTTTGGCCCATGCTTGTTTTGACTCCAAATTATCCCAACAGTTAGTTAATCAGAATAAAATCAATCTAATTTAAATGAGTAGAAATATGAATTCTTAGAAATTGTTTGGAACCAAAATCTGAAATATACATGGATATTGTTTATTAGAAATGGACTGATATTGAATACTGCCTACAAATATTGGAATTGGAATTGTTGGGATTGGCATAGCCAAATCGACATTAGAATGAGTTAGGCTTGGGTCAAGATCGAGTCGGGACGACGAGGGATGAAAGGTGAAGCAGAGAGCTACAGACCAGGATGGTCGAAGAGGACGCGCTATCCAGATGGGCACGCATGATTTGTTCAGTCCATAGTGCCATGGCACTGTAACGACATTATAAATACTGTTGTTTTTTGATTTTTAGGGTAGTTGAACTGTTTCAACCGTTTTTGATAGCGTTGTGTGGCAGTTTCGAGGTAGAGGTTCAGGACAAATCAAGATCGACATATTTGAGATAATTAGATATTGATTCTATTGTGAATTTTCATTATTGCTGTAGCTAAGTGTAGTGTATTATAATACTTAGAAGCGATGTTTGAGTACTTGTATCCAATATCTTTATTAGTGGAACCGGTATTTGAACAGAAGATTAGACGTAGTCCATAAACTATTAGGATGAACCATAATAAATTATTGTGTCGTTTATTGTTTTTCGTTGAGTGTTTTATTTGTATTGTGTGATTGTAAGTCCCAGGAAAATTATTAAGGAATTGTCTTAATTTTCCAATCGAAATAGAAACTGACTGATAGTCAGTATGTATGTTGCAATGGAGAATGATGATCCATCCTCATTAATAAAGTTGAGAAAGAAAACACCAACGAAAGAATAAAACAAGAACCACGGCTCACATCTTTAACTAGATAAAAGTGTAAAAACCAAATACTGAATAATTTTTTCAAAATATTTATTGTTTAATGTAAATCATAGAAGAAACTTTTATATTATAATATTTTTCCTAAATATTTATTAACATTAATGGTAAATTAATTTTCTTGGCGATATATATATACATACATTTATTATTATTATGTTTTTGCATATACTGTTTGGTGACATTGGAGCTGGTAAAATACTCTAAAATTAAATTAAGTCAACTTATACAAAACTTTAATCAATTCTTTAAAAATTTTACCTAAACTTTAATGAAATATAATAAATTATCTGACAACCATAAATTATAATGAATTAGAACTTCGGTCAATCAAGTCAGTGACGTAATTGCTGACGCCAAATTTATCCTAATCATACACACAATTAAATTAATAATTGGCCAATACGTCAGCCATTTTGTTTTTTCCAAATGGTCGTCAACTAATTAGATTTGATGTGACAATCAAATATAGTTTAACTTCAAAGGAAAAAAATACAAGTATATTTTGGTCTCCATAATTTGGTTTTACTAATTTTAATTTGGTTCTTGGTTTGAAATTTCTAATTTGACTCCTATAATTTAGTCAGATCTTACGAAGGATTTTTTTTATTACATGTTACAATATTTAATATGGGATACATTTCCTATTTACAGGGTGTTCATACAAAATTTTAAAAAGAAGTGATGAATTTGATTTGTGTATTGATGTATAAGTGTTAAAATCTTCGGTGTATAATCCTATGATGTTTTCTCTCTGTAAATTTTTGTTCGATAGCTACTGAATTTGTTCTTTAATTTAATAAGGGTTGGAGTTCTCTGGCTTATAATTTGTTGAAAGATCTTTTGCTTCTAGATTGTGGGAGGATCTTCAAAGTGTTTAACTCATAGCTTATTTAAATTATTCAAGTCTTCAAAAAAAAATTTTGTGCATTTTGGATCTTTTGAATTCTTTTAAATCCTTCTAAATCCTTAAGAAAGGGCGACCTCCTCAATTTGTAGAGCTTTCGTGGGCCTTGTAACAACAAATATAGCCGTTTAAAATAGATAAATACAACAAATAGGAAGAAGGCGAACAGAGGAATAAATACGAGGAAGACGAACGGAGGAATAAATACGAGGAAGGTGAATGGAGGAATAAATACGAAGAAGGTGAACGAAGGAACAAATACGGCGAAAGTGAACAGTGGAACAAATACCGCGAAGGTGAAGGACGGAAAAAATACCGCGAAAGTGAAGGGTGGAACAAATACGATGAAGATGAAGGAAGGAACAAAATACTTGTGAAGATGAAGGGAGAACAAAATAATTTGAAGAAATAAGGTGTATTTTTCTTTGCAAAAAATGATAATAATAAATATGGTGCATTTTTTTTTAACAATTAATACAAAAATATAAAGTACCCTATGTCAAACTCAACGGGCAGATCTACCAAGGGACCAGGGAGGCACCTTCAAATTTTGATTAAATGTTAGTATGCTATTTCATCAAAACATACCTTCGTGGTTCGTTAACATCTACGGTTAAATAACTTTACCAAAACTTACAAATTTAGAACAACTCTAATGTCGATTGTCTAAATTCTATCAATTATTTTCCTACCAAAACATGTGTTTTCTTATTTATTTGATACATGAGATTATTTTTTCAACAAATTTTCAAATGAAAATCTGTTGAATGGTAAATTTTGTGACACATTTTAAAATTAAAGATGAAAATTACAACATTGTCCAATTGTAAGGTGCAAATTGATACATATCACCAAATTCTAGTATAAAATTGATATTTTCCCATTATGTTTATATGCCGTTGTGCACCTCCTAACGTAGAATTCTGAATCCGCCACTCCGTATGGGTCTCTCTCCTTGCAATCGTTCCCTCGCTCGATTCTGTCAGTTTGTCGCATTGCCTAACAAGATTTGTCTCCTCTCTTGATTTTTGTCTCCCTTGCCATACCCTCAACTCGACTCTAATAGTTTCTTATCGTCTTCTTCTCTGGTCGTCCCCCTCCATGTGATGCATCCTTAAATTTGGTTAATTTTGTGTCCAAGAATCTAGGAGAGATAAAAGAAGTTAAAAATATTTTGTTTTTAAAAGTAATAATCAAATAGAAAGGATAAAAGTGTAAAAAACAAACCTACAAAATAGTTAGATAAAATACTAATGAACATTTTTCATTATTGATGATTATTTAGCCATTCTCTAAAACTGAGTGATAAATAAGCACAACTACGGTAAATTCTCTATTTGATTTGTTTGACTTTAAACCCAACACTTAAACTTGGGCTAATATTAATTTGAGTTCAATCGCCACATGAGTCAGTTTTATTAGACAATGTCATTAAAAGACCAAAATAAAGACACTCTGTACTATTTCTATGCCATTTTTATGTCTTTTAATGTTTTTTGCAGGCACATTATTTGTAATTGATCGAAATTTTAAGAAAGGAAATTTCCTCAAATGGCTCGATATAGTAATGATATTTCACAATTGTTTTATTTTTTTTCCAAATCTTACAAATCTATATTTAGAGATTTGAATTTCACTTTTTTTCGAATGTTCCAAAATATAAATAAAAAAATTGTTTCATCCTATTGAATTTGGATATTTGGACCATACAATTCATTTTTCTTTATCAAGAATGAAGAAACATGAACAAAAAATAAGAACGTTATCAAACTCTTCCTTTTCATCCGTCTTTTTCTTGTTAAAAAAAATAATAATAACACCACCAAAAACGAACAACCAATTTGACCAAGTCTCTAACAGCCAACTTAGAAACTAATGTGTCTTCCTTTACACAATGAGCTACAAGTGGAACCAAGGCTGATAGGTTATGATACTGCTGTTTAGTCAACAGAGGAAGTCTTACTATAAACAGACTGTACATTCGAACTATGGCTCTATAAACGCGTAAAGAGTATAGTAACTGACCTTTACACAAGCAGCTTCAAGCATTCTTGTAAGCTTCACCAACATTTTAGATAGTTGTTGGATCGGATCCTCGCATAATATTTTCTTTCGAAAGGAAGAATTTGGTACAGATATGATTGAAGAACTAGGTTCTTCATATATGGACAATGACACTTCGACGGTAATAAGAGGCTGAGTGAATGAGATAGGTGGAAGGTTCAAGCTTCAGCAACCTTGTTCACGATTACAGAGGCATATTTGGCAATTGTTGATTCTGGGGATTGTCGTAGCTGCCCGATCACCGGAAACAGCTTCGATGAAATAAGGAACTGTCTGCAGGGTGCATGTGCGCACATCTTTGCCAAGGAAAACAAGGCTATCTTGAGAGGAGACTCATTTGCTGCATCTTTTTTGCTTGGGTTCAAGGCCACTGCTGAACAGTCAGCTACCAACTTCAGTAAAGCCTGTAAAATATCATCGTTAATCGGACTCCCTTGCTACAAAATTCATTCTAGCTCTATTGTCATCAAATCTGATCACAATGTTCTTCCATAAACATCAAGATAATTTGATTCATAATCCAAAACAAAATTAATAAATGAAGATGGAGTCCAGGACTTCAGGTATGTCTATTGAAGTCGGAACAAATAAAAAAGTTTCCTCGTGTAATTGGGACTTTGGCAGCTAAACCCTCAACACAAATTTGTAAGCTACATTTCAGAGGGGAACATTCTATTTGCCCCAACTGCAACTGATATGGTTTAAATGATACTTGGTTCCAATAATGTGTAAAACCACCCTTACCATACCATTAAATTCTTTCTACAAAAGTACAAAAGAAGTACTAGTAGATTGGCTTGTGTCGCCGTCAAAATAACTATTCTTATTTTCTTTCTAACTCTCTGTTTCTAACCTTACGGAAATTTTCAAAAAGTTTTAGCCAAAACTAGAGTTTGACTCGATCTGCAGCTGGTCCAGTATAGTTATTAGAGAAATTCTTTTGGCTAATTTGGAAAATCGAAGGGACAAATCCTCATATGGCTAAAAGATGAAGCTTTCTCTAGAATCCAGCAAGATTGACTATGGCTTGGATTTGCAAGGNTTTTGACAAGGGTCCTTGCAGATTGTGACAAGTGTCCATATTACAAATTTCTTACATAAATTCAACAAATTATGTAACCTAACCAGTTAGAAGATTGGGGTAAAGGTAAACTACTTGGAAGTAATCAACTACTCAATTTAGTTCATAAAATATCTTTAATGGCACCAAACCTACACAATGTACAAGAAAACTTTTGTATTTAGCTCTTTCAATTTTCAAGTTTTGAAGTCTGCTTTTAACAAGGACAGCCAGCAACCTTTTTTGGGGCGGGGCGGTGATGGGGTGGAGGGAAGCTAAGAATAAGACTAAGAGTATTAATAGGTCAATAACAGTAAACTTTACAGACCTGGATCGCTCCTTTAGAAACAATATCCTCGCAGAGCATGTTGGAGTTGCGGACAAGGTTACTTAGTGCACCTGCTGCATTTGCTTTTGTTTTGTCTTCTTCGGATGATAGCAGCAAATTTGCTAGCTGAGGTATCGATCTCCTGAGTTCTCCATATAACGTGTCATCGTGATAGGCAGCATTTCCGATCTAGAGAGAGAAAACCAATTACTTCAGATTTTACATAAAAAAATTATCATGTTATACGACAAAAAGGGAACTAATTGTTTTGGAATTTTATTGCTTCAGTGTCTGCCAATTAATCACACCTACATGTGGCTTGGAATTTTAGGGCCCGTTTTGGTAACATTTCCGTTTCTTGTTTCTCATTTTCAATTTTCTAAAAAAATTTAAGCATTCTGCAACTTTGTTTCTTGTGTCTCGTTATTTGGGAACATTTTCACAATTGTATAGAAATTTTGGAAACAACTAAAATAAATTTCTTCTTTCTTGTTCCCATTTCCAATTTGTTCCAAAACATAAATAAAAAAAATGTTTGAGTCATGCAATTTATTTTTATTCATTAAAAATGAAGAAACAGAATAAGAAACGGGAACGTTACCAAACAGGTCCTTATTGATTCAGTGTCTACCCATTAATCCCACCTACATGGCTTGAACTTAGTTGAAAATAGTGTTTTGTAGGATGTTGATTTATTGCCAAATTTTATGGGATTGATTATCGAGAAACACTTTCATCCATTTCTAAGATTAACTCTATTAGAGTTCTTTTATTTGTTGCTCTTTATTTAAATGGACCTTTTCACCAACTTAATGTCAAGAATACATTTCTCAATGGAGATTTTGAAGGAAAGGTATTTATGGAACTTGATTTAGATGAAATAAAATATCTGTATCCCAATTCTTAAAAGGTATTATACCTCTGTTTATATAGGAGAAAGGCTCAATACAAAAATGGTAATAAAAACCAAAATAAGAATAAAATAAACTATTAATATTTACAACTAATTTAAATATTTATGACTAATATTTCCAAATAATAAACCAACAATGGATTACCTCAATTTTAAAATGAACGTTGAAAATAACAAAGTGTGAAAATTAAAAAAATCTCACTATGACCTAAAATAATCCTCTAGAGAATGGTTTGAACGTTTTGAGAAAGCAGTCACATGATAACCTATTAGCAATTTCCCCAACCACTATATACATGGCCACTGGCACTGCCCTCTAACTAACTGAAGCTACATGCCACATTTTACCCTGCCTTGAACACACGTTTACGATATGGAGGGCCAAACAAATCCTAAATATCTTAGATATTTTCTTTGGAAACCTAAACAAGAATTCCTTGTAGTCCAAAATATATTATTAAAAGCCAAGATTTTTTTTCAATCGTCTTGAGATGTTTACAATCTCAACTATTATGGTGTACCTAAAATATTTGCATCAAATATTTAAAAAGCTTCTACAAGGGTTATTATTGTATTTAACAAGATGTACTCATTAAGAAACAACTAGCTACACGCCATTAGTAAGAGTCTTGCTTCATTGTCGTCAATTTTATCCTAATTGGCTTTTAACACAAAAATATTATATCAAATTTTAGAAACAAAAATGTCTACCTACAAAATGCAATTTTTCATATTGACAAAAGATGAGTGAAGAAAGTACAAGTTCTCGATTAAGATAGTAAAATTAATGATAGAGAGTAATATTTTAAAAAACAAAACTTACAGCAAAGCATGCAAACTTTCTTGTGCGTTTGTCTGGATCAGCACATCTATCAATAAGAAGATTGATTATTTCATATCTTCCCTGCAAGTTTCACATGATAGTTTGAATACTTTTTAAACCAAGGATGTCACAAATCAATAAAATATCGATACACAGAATAACTATAGTAATTTTCTTCTCAGACTTACCAAGGAAGCATAAAAGTATGGACTATGCCGACACATATTCCCCAAGGCACTACAAGTCTTTGCTCGTATATTTGGATCTTCGTGTGAAAGAAATTCCTTTAAGAACTCCAAAATAGATGCACCATTGATGTACTCATAGAATGCCTGAAATGCAAAAAGGTTGTCCAAAAGGAAGTTTCCAATTCAACCAACGAAAAGTATCAATCAGTTAATATTAAATAGGATCGCAAAGTAAAATATTGATCAGTCACACATAATCGGAAGATTAAATTGTCTGCAACAACCCTATTACAAAGTACTTTTCAAATTTGAAAGAATCTTTTAAAAAAGAAAAAGAAAAAAAAATATGTTACATACAGTGAGAAGACAAAGATGACAATGAGGAGAAAACAACAAAAAAGGAGGGAACAGAAAAATGTTCATATTATAGTAGAGCAAAAACAAGCCCATAGCCAAGGTAATAAAGTCAATTTAAGAAAAATGAGAGGGCAACATTACTTCGCAACATATTATCAGGAAAGTTGTGTTTTAAGTTCTATTGAGAATCACTAGTAGAATCGTTGTTCTTTCAATGTGTCCCTTGCAACTGGTTCATGAATCGCACTATAAACCCTTAGAAGTTTGTTTATATTATACAACTACACTCATATGCAAAATAAAACTATGAACTTCTTTCCTAAGAATTTGAATTATTAGGTGAAAGATATGAATACTGAATAGCTCATTTAGCCCCCATTCCTTTGTTCTTTAGAGCAAAAACCAGCATCTATTAACAATTTGATGTAATTAGTAGTTACTTTTGTAGTTTCTGTTTTAGCTTTTGTTTTAAAGCTTCTATTTTAGTGAACTTAGAGTTTTACCCCATGGTAACTCTGTTTACCCTTGTAGTTCTTAAGCTAAGAATCCTATAAATAGTATTCAGCTCTTTCAATAAGAGGCATGAATTCATTTCTTGTAAACCACCTCTAGAAGGCTACATCACAATTGCAAGGCGTCAAAAACATATTATTTACAATTTTTCATGCACAAGAAAAAAACAAAAACAAAAGAAAAATTAAAAAAAGGCTTTTCTTTACACTGATGATATATAGTAATATTCAAACTTTTATCTTCTATCATCCATTGAGTTTATACCTTTTCTTCCAAATTTTCTCCATCTTCTAGCCCCTAGGCTAGATGACGAGTGGAACGGGTGAGCATCTGTTTGATTCAAAGGAAGAAGAAGGTTTTACCCTTAGAGGAAAGAGTGAGCAAGTTTGATTTGAAGGAAGAAGTTTTGAGCCAAGGGTAAGTAGATCCATAGGCAACTAGTCATCAAGGATTTTGAATGACCAACGAAAGTAGTACGGATATTCTCAAAAAGAAAAAAAAAACAAACGAAAGTAGTATGACAGTTGGTCAACGAATGAATTGTGTCTAGTCCTTTTCGGATTGTATATTTTCCTTTAAAATTGTCTAATTTTGTCCTTATGCTTGGGAAATAATTGATAGATTTTGTAATTTATATCAAGTACCTTGTACCATATCTTTGCACTGAGAACTGTTTCCTTTCATTTCTATTTTACACAGATTCAAATTGCATTTTATTTTCTTTTATTCAGTGGTTTTAAAACATTACAGAAGAATAAATATACATCATACAAGCTTTATTTAATATCCCGACATTCTTTTCACAAGGGATCCAAAACCCCCGTCCTTCATAAGGGAATGCTGCAACTTTGCAACTAATACCAAGTAGGACCAGAAGTTTACTTATTCTGCCAAGCTCCTCTGCTGAACTTTTTACCTTTTTGGGATATGAAAACAGCTTTCAAAACTACACAAGGATGGGGACA